TACATGGAAGAACAGCAGCAGTCTTACCTCTCTGCTCTCCTTCATGATGTTCAGCCTCAAACGGAACCAGCTGCCCGAGCGTCTGCACGCCAGACCATGTTCCTCGTCAGCCTGCAGCCCTCGTGGACACGCCATCCACCCACAGTCCCAGAGGACTTCCTGAAGGACTGGGTCCATTCCCAGTAGGTCCACTTTTAATACGTCTTAATCCAACAAGGAGATTTAACTGTTCACTTTTAATTGGACAGATTTTGCCCCCTTTTCATATTTCTGCTTGTTGTTTTCTTGTGTTTTCTTGGGTTTCAGACCCAGAACAGCAGACATGTCGGGTCGTGTCAAGCTTCAAACCGGAGAGAGATGAATTAATTCTCACCGTCTTCGCTTCAGTACCTCCAGCTTATCAATATTTCCCAAGCCTGAGAAAAAAGACGGCTGGATGTGTTCAGCGAACTGTGACTAGGGGATCTCTGCATCATGCTGAGCAGCTCTGCCTCCACATCAGGACTTAGAGCTGTCTGACTGAAGGAGAGCAAAGGAGAGGACAGGATGGACGGGAAGCGGCACGGCTCAGACAGAGTGTCAATGGAGCAGAAAAAAAACCCTGCTGTTTTAGAAATCAAACTGTGTTCTCAGCTGGGAAGCTTTCATTAAAGGTAAGACAGACGAGAAGGCAGGAGGTCCATCAAGGAGAAAGCTTCATCTTAACCTCACTGCCTTACGGCAGCAGCCGGACGACAACATCTTTAATTAGAAACGATAACTGAAGTCAAAATAAACTAAACAACCTGAAGATTTGGAGCAAACATAGAAGCAGACATTCAAATATTGTCAGAGAAAAGTAGAACTAAAGTTAATGGTGAATTCCCAGCCCTGATTCAAGCTCAATATTCTTTATGTTTGCTTAAAGTTCCTCCAGCTGCAGACAGGAGGCACAGTTTAGGACCAGGGCAGTGAAACACCTGAGCTGACATGCATAAACACTCAGATTAACTCCATATAGAGCTGAGTTCACGTCCCTGTTCGACGGTGGATCTGTAAATGGACACCATCGACCTCATCAGTAGAGGTGAGTATTGGCATGAGTGTTGCGATTCGATACATGTCGCGACACTTGGGTCACGATACGATATTATCACGATATTGCAGTATCACTATATATTGCCATATTTTCCCCAGCTATCAAAATCAAATGATGAGATAAAACAGCAAGTGCTGTATATTTTCATCAGAAAATATTGATTAGGTATTATTATCCATGTTGTTTGGGGTTTTCTTCCACTGTGACTGACTCAAATACAGATTTGGTGCTGCACGGACAGTTAAAGGGCTCCACAGCGCTTTCTGCCAGAGTGGTGGTGCTGAGGTAGCCCATTTTCCCATCAATGTTTTACGTAACCATTTTTTTTTTTTTTTTTTAAATCGATACCAAGAAGTGAAAGATCGATATTATATTGGGCAGCCGAATATCACGATGTATCGCCAAAATGATTATTTGCCACACCCCTACTCATCAGGTCTTTTTATTGATTAAAATGATGGATTTATTCTAGGATTTTATTATATAAACACCTGCTGAGGCTGTGAAAATGATATCTGTAGTTATTTGCAGATCCCACACATCCTGGACACCAACGGTTTAAAGTTTTGGCGCCATAGAGATGGTTTCTTCTCAGATCAACACCTGGGTAGATATGACCCGGTGCTGGTCGGATCCATCAGTAGGTTACCGGTCTGGTTTTCTGATGTCTTCCATGTTCTGGTATGAGTGGGTCCCTGCTGATGTGCATCCAATAGAACACGTTTCTACGTTCTGTTCTGGATTATTCAGAACCATTCTCAGTCTTTTGTTTGCTCAAATTAAAGCCATCCACAGTAAAGCAGAACTCTGCTGGGAATTTTCTGGTAAAATCTCTTTTCTTGGCAAAGATTCTTCAGAAATGAACCAGTCAGCTTGTTTGGGTTCTATTGGCACAGAGAAACGGGTCTGAAATCTCTGCAGCAGCAGTTCTGATGGAAGCAGACGCCACCTGATAGGAGGCGAGGACCTGCATGGCGGGAAGCAGACGGGCTGATGTCAGCAAGCAGCCTCCATAAAGATCCTGGATGTAATCGGGTCGGGAACAGGCGGCCTTTTGTTCGGGCCGCTCGGAGCTGCCGGAGTTCTGAATGGGAGCAGTAATCCTGTTTCTCACGCTGCAGCAGAAACAGTCTGGACCTCAGACTGACTGACAAACAGAACATGGAAAGATCAGCTGAACCATCCTCATATGCATGGAAACAAAAAATCCACCAACAAACAAAACCAGTCCAGATGAAGACTCAGATGGGTTCTTCTCTGCTGGGAGGAATGGCAGGAAAGTTCTGGACATGGACACATGGATCGGGGATTTCTTTCTGTCAGTTCTGGTGTAGAAAGCACAAGCAAAAGCAAAGTTCTGGATGAACTGGATCATCTGGCCCAGTTTCCAGAATCCTCTGGAAAGGAGAACCTGGGAAGACCAAGAACCCGCCTGGAAGGGGAACAGGTGCTGCATCAGAGAAATGTCTGGGTTCTCTCCCAAACCTGAACCTCCTGAGACCCAATTTTAATGATTCGGGTTCCTGACCAAATGTTCTGAACCAAAAGTCAAGAGATTTAAGGTCATGATGAAGGAAAATGGTGGGTTGATCAGAACCAACATCATCATCCCTAAATTATTAATGAAAGATGCCATGCAGCCCTACAGTCAGACAGTGGACCGTTATGGGTCCAGAACCTCTAGGTCCAGGAACACAGAGTGCAGTGCAGCTCAGCTCCTCAGTGCCTTCCAGGAAAGGTTCTGTTCAGGATGTTCTAATGATGTTCTGAGAGCCGGTCTGGGTCATCAGCCTTCATGAATCTGTAATGGAGTGAAGAGCATCAGGTTCTTGAGGAACTTCAGATTCTGATCAATACCAGCCAAAGATGGTCCAGGGTGTGAAGCAGAACTTTAGAACGCGATGGAAAGAGACCTGTAGTGCTTTGGACCAACTACAGGTTCTGTTATCACGGCGCTCTTACATACCATGTTTATGTACAGCCTAGCTTGTAATCAAACAGATCAGTTCTGAGTTCTACTGGGTCTGCTTGGTTCTTCATCAGGCTTGCAAGAACCAGAGAAAGTTTGAGGAACATCTGGATGCAGCTTCCCATTGAGACCAGAGGAATGACCAAAAGTAACTTTTAACCACAAAACAGGGTGCTAGACCTGTACATTCCAGGGTTAGCTCCCCCTACAGGGCACTGGCAACAAAGGCTCTAAATGAACCAGTCTGTGTTCTGGTTCTGTTATCAGATTAATTTGGACCAACACATCTAGTATTCCTGGTAAAGATGTGGAACATTCATTTTCTAGATGAAATCCTCCAACAGAGAACCGGAAATGTGTCTGATCAGTTAAGGGTCAGGGCTAACAACAACTGTTAGCTTAGTTAGCTCTGGTGTTTAAGTGGAGCTCAGACTGACAGAAAGGGGCTCTCTGGGTCACGTGACCCATTCAGAGACCTGTAGACCCTGAGGTTACAGAAAAGAGGGAGCATCGGTACACAGGAGATGAAGATGGAGCTGAAGGATCACTATTTCTCTAATTAATGTAATAAAGGGTTCAAAAATTTAACTGTGTTGCTTTGAACAAAATTTTCCTCTGGTGAAGATTCACAGCGGATGATCTAATGGCCTCCAGCAGCGCAGCAGACACCCAGAGACGATGACCTCAAACAGTAACAACACAATCTGAGTCCAGGACGGCCTGGTTCCCAAGGACCGCAGTCGGTTCCATTTGTGTCTGAAGAGGCTGGCAGGCAGCCCCAGAATGGAGAGGGGGAAGAAGACCTCCCTCCAACAGAAAACAAACATGCAGCTGTCAGACAGACAAGTTCCTGATGTAACACAACGGGTATGTTGGTCCAGTTTAGCGCGGTTCTGTTGGAGCTGAAATGCAGAAGCTAGAGGTGACGTCAGGCCAGGTCTTTTCTCTAAATATGGGCTAAAAGCTCTGCCTGTGTTTGGACCACGGCTGCTTAGTTCAGAGCAGAGATGAGGAGGCTAACAGAACCTGTCTGTTACCCAGTAGGACCAGTTAGAACAAGATCAACTTCTGGAAAACAAGCCCAGAAACATGACCTGCTCCACTTTCAGTGATTAGCTTTGAACGAGGAGACGTCTGTAAAATACATCTGCTTTAATTAATCTAAGTAACCATTGTTTTCCATGTAAATGATCTGACATTGAGGTAAAACATTTTAGCAAGGAAGAATAACGTCAGCTACTGGGGATCCAAATAATAAACTGATATTTAAAGATCAACTACAACGACGACACGTAAAGCTTTAGCCATCATTAGCTGATACAGATGTTAATATAGATAAATCGGCTCCTCTGTACTTCATCAAAGGTCTTAAGACCAACTAAAAACCATACATTTCTGATGGGAAGCTGCTGATTAATTAACACACATGACCTCAAATATAAAAATATTTGATATGACTGTATTAATGAGGCATTTCAATCTGAAATCCAGCTTCATTCACTCTGGAAATGAAGCCTGGCAAAGACAGAACCAGAGCTGAGGCCCAAAAGAACCCAGGTCAGGTCTTGCAGCACGGTGTCCTGGATCAAAGCTACCTTCCCCTGTGCAGGGCTACATAACCTTCAAATGTTGGACCATCTAGGACCAACGTGCTGCTGCTCAGGAACCGTTTACTTTAAGGCCCATGAAGTCTCTGTTTTTGCATTTTTCAGCCATGACTCAGTCTTATCAGAAATCTTTCTCTGTTCTCTGGCTCCCTGCCTGGTTAGACGACATTTTTACACCAAACAGGCGCCTGATTTCTAAGGATCGGGTCGTTCCTCTTGCTCATATGGCAGAACATTACCTTCAGTCAGATTTAAAGATTTAAAGACCTCAGGGTTTGAGCACTTTTCCCTCCTCTGATCTTTAAAAATATCCACCTCTTCAACCCTTTAACCACTTGATTCCTACCTGGAGACCTCTGCGCCTTAAAATGCTGGAGTCGTCCATGATGATCAGGTCCTGGGATGCGCGTCTTGTTGTTTAGGGAGAAGTTTCACCACAGCCTCTCCTCCCGGACCTCCTCTGTCCATCTGACTGGGACAGACCGCCTCCTTGAAAGATTGTCCAGATTTAAAGGCAAACCTTCAGAAGTGTCCTCCTCAGATCAGCTGATCCGCTTCTTCAGGTTAGAGAAGATCCATTCGTCTCTTTTCTGAGATCCATTCGGCCCTTCTAAAGGTCCGCTCTGTTCCCTGATCTCTGTGTTCCTCTGCGCTCCGCCTGTCTCCCACCTCTAAGGCTCCATTCCCGAGGTTCCTTCCATTGTACCAGTGCCGCTTGCAGCACAGATTGATGAGGACGCTGGGTCGGACAAAGACAGGTCCTGGGAGTCCTGTAGTTGAAAACAGGGATGGACTAGGGGGAAAAGTTGGAGCTCTGCAGCTGAAAATAGATGTTTGTTTGATAGCGAGCCTCTACAGAGCGAGGGGGCACCCTGCATTCGTCTCCATGCCAACGAGCTGGGCCAGAATCCATGGGGTTAAAGCCAGCAGGAGCTCAGAGAGGGTTCTGCAGAGGGAGGAGATGAAGCGCGGCTGCAGGGCGAGCTGCAGAGCAGAGGGCCCCGTCTGTCCTCCTCAGGCTACAGTTATTGCTTTTCTCTTTGCTCCAATGTGTCAGAATGCTCACATGCTCTGACTCCGCCCACTTTCTTTCATCACACGCTCCCTCTCCCAGCAGCAGCAGCCAATCAGGCGACAGCAGGGGAAGGAGACGCTGCTGGCGATGAATGAGGGGAAGACAAGCGCTCCTCCCCCCGGTTTGTGTCTGTCTGTCACCCACACCCACAGCAGCGTCTGTGGCTCATGTTTTATTACAAACTGATGAATTAATCATGACTGCAGCGATCAAAGGACGTCAATGATTGAGGACCAACAGGAGAGCAGAGGAAGCAACGAGGGACAAATGGGACATTTTCACTTCCAAACTCTTCAAACGCTTCAGTCACCGATCAAAGCATTCTGGGGAAACTCTAATTAAGCAGACATTCATATTTCAACATCATTTGCTTTTTTAAAACCTTTAGTTCAGTTATTTTTTTTTTCATTTCCAGTTTCTATGAAATAAAAAAAACAAGAGAAACAAAGAGAAGCTTTGATAACAAAGCTAAAGTTTTCTCTGAGCATATTCTGTAATCTGATTCAGGTGTGTGGAAACAGGATCAGAACAATCCAGAACCTTAAAGCCTTTTGGTCTCCATACATCTTCCCTGAAACCAGTCACAGCCTCAGTCACTGCAGAGATCTGATCTGGACAAAGGTTAATTGTCCCTATTGTAAAGTCAATGCCTGGATGCAATCAGCTGGTTCTGCTTTGATAGAAACGTTAAACCTTAACCTGACTGGTTGATCTGGTTGAACTGGATCTATAAGTGACCTGAGATGACATGATGTGAATTGGAGTTATTGATTTTATATAATATTGCCTGATAGCCTGGAGAAGGCTGAGGACCCCACTTGTTTGTTTTTAAAGAACTCATAATCTGATATTTTATACAATCCCTCTGAAACTTTCTAAATTCATGTTCGATCACTTTTAGAAGAAAATCTAACTAGATAGAGCTCATTCAGTCGCCTTTTCGCCCTGTTTTATCTCACTAAGGTACACGTGTGTATTTGTGTTCATGTGGATGTAGCGTTAGCAACATTAGCAGTTAGCTGATTACCAGAGTTCCCTGGTTTAAAACGTTAGACAAGCAGAAACATCAGGTGATTGACGGCAGGAGAGGCCCTGATTTGTGGAATAGAGAAAGGAGTGGTAAAAGCAATGAGGGCTAATGTTACCATGGTGATTAGCAATATTAATTAATGATAATAACAATTGAACTTTATTGATCTCACGTTGGAGAAATTTACCTCTGCATGTAACCCAGTGAGCTGACATCGTGCGGCGCCCGGGGAGCAGTGTGGGGTTAAGGGTCTTGCTCAGAGACCGAGAGTGGCAGTCTCTGGGAATGGGGCTCGAACTCAGAACCTCAGGATTCCAAGCTCTATGCCCTAACCACTAGGCTGCACTCCCCACTAATAGGGCTGATTTTAGCATGGTGATTAGCAATGAGGGCTAATGTTAGCATGGTGATTAGTGATGGGTCAAATTTTAGCATGGTGATTAGAATTAGGGCTGATGTCACCATTGTGAACAGCGATGAGGGCTAATTTTAGCATGGTGAGTAGCAACAAAAGGCTAATGTTAGCATGATGATTAGCAATAGGTCAAATTTTAGCATGTGATTGGCATTAGGGCTGATGTCCTCGTGGTGAATAGCAATGACGGCTAATGTTAGTATGGTGTTTAGTGATAGGTCAAATTTTAGCGTAGTGATTAGAATTAGGGCTGATATCAGCATTGTGAACAGCGATGAGGGCTAATGTTAGCATGGTGAGTAGCAACGAAAGGCTAATGTTAGCATGATGATTAGTGATAGGTTAAATTTTAGCATGCGATTAGCATTAGGGCCGATGTCATCGTGGTGATCAGCAATGAGGCTAATGTTAGCATGATGATTAGCAATATGTTAAATTTTAGCATGTGAATAACATTAGGGCTGACGTCATTGTGGTGCTAAGCAATGAGGGCTAATCTTAGTATGGTTATTAGTAAAAGGTCAAATTTTAGCGTGGTTATTAGAATTAGGACTGATGTCAGCATTGTGAACAGCGATGAGGGCTAATGTTAGCGTGATGATCAGCAATGAGGGCTAATGTTAGCATGGTGATTAGCGATAGGTCAAATTTTAGCGTGGTGATTAGAATTAGGGCTGATGTCAGCATTGTGAACAGCGATGAGGGCTAATTTTAGCATGGTGAGTAGCAACAAAAGGCTAATGTTAGCATGATGATTAGCAATAGGTCAAATTTTAGCATGTGATTGGCATTAGGGCTGATGTCCTCGTGGTGAATAGCAATGACAGCTAATGTTAGTATGGTGTTTAGTGATAGGTCAAATTTTAGCGTAGTGATTAGAATTAGGGCTGATATCAGCATTGTGAACAGCGATGAGGGCTAATGTTAGCATGGTGAGTAGCAACGAAAGGCTAATGTTAGCATGATGATTAGTGATAGGTTAAATTTTAGCATGCGATTAGCATTAGGGCCGATGTCATCGTGGTGATCAGCAATGAGGCTAATGTTAGCATGATGATTAGCAATATGTTAAATTTTAGCATGTGAATAACATTAGGGCTGACGTCATTGTGGTGCTAAGCAATGAGGGCTAATCTTAGTATGGTTATTAGTAAAAGGTCAAATTTTAGCGTGGTTATTAGAATTAGGACTGATGTCAGCATTGTGAACAGCGATGAGGGCTAATGTTAGCGTGATGATCAGCAATGAGGGCTAATGTTAGCATGGTGATTAGCGATAGGTCAAATTTTAGCGTGGTGATTAGAATTAGGGCTGATGTCAGCATTGTGAACAGCGATGAGGGCTAATGTTAGCATGGTGAGTAGCAACGAAAGGCTAATGTTAGCATGATGATTAGTGATAGGTTAAATTTTAGCATGCGATTAGCATTAGGGCCGATGTCATCGTGGTGATCAGCAATGAGGCTAATGTTAGCATGATGATTAGCAATATGTTAAATTTTAGCATGTGAATAACATTAGGGCTGACGTCATTGTGGTGCTAAGCAATGAGGGCTAATGTTAGTATGGTTATTAGTAAAAGGTCAAATTTTAGCGTGGTTATTAGAATTAGGGCTGATGTCAGCATTGTGAACAGCGATGAGGGCTAATGTTAGCGTGATGATCAGCAATGAGGGCTAATGTTAGCATGGTGATTAGTGATAGGTCAAATTTTAGCGTGGTGATTAGAATTAGGGCTGATGTCAGCATTGTGAACAGCGATGAGGGCTAATGTTAGCATGGTGAGTAACAACGAAAGGCTAATGTTAGCATGATGATTAGTGGTAGGTTAAATTTTAGCATGTGATTAGCATTAGGGCTGATGTCATCATGGTGATCAGCAATGACGGCTAATGTTAGCATGGTAATCAGCAATTAGGGCTAATGTTAGCATGGTGATCAATAATGAGGGCTAATGTTAGCATGGTGATCAGCAATGAGGGCTAATGTTAGCATGGTGATCAACAATGAGGGCTAATGTTAGCATAGTGATCAATAATGAGAGCTAATGTTAGCATGGTGATCAATAATGAGAGCTAATGTTAGCATGGTGATCAGCAATAAGGGCTAATGTTAGCATGGTGATCAACAATGAGGGCTAATGTTAGCATGGTGATCAATAATGAGAGCTAATGTTAGCATGGTGATCAGCAATAAGGGCTAATGTTAGCATGGTGATCAACAATGAGAGCTAATGTTAGCATGGTGATCAGCAATAAGGGCTAATGTTAGCATGGTGATCAACAATAAGGGCTAATGTTAGCATGGTGATCAACAATAAGGGCTAATGTTAGCATGGTGATCAACAATGAGGGCTAATGTTAGCATGGTGATCAACAATAAGGGCTAATGTTAGCATGGTGATCAACAATAAGGGCTAATGTTAGCATGGTGATCAACAATAAGGGCTAATGTTAGCATGGTGATCAACAATGAGGGCTAATGTTAGCATGGTGATCAACAATTTTCATGGAGCCAGAACCTCAGCAGAACATCTGGCAGTAAGAACTTGGTTCTTACAGTTTCTTTTATCTCAGGGCTTGAAAAGATTTAGATCCAAACATGAATGTAAAAATTCTGCAAGAACTTTGGTTTATGCAGCAACCATGTAGAATCGGAACACATCTCTATTTTTACTGGTCAGATAAATAAGTGCTGTAGGAAACAGAACAGTCTGGTGTCCTCCTATGCCTCTCAGAGATGACTCATAAGGACATGAAGGACTGATGATGTGGAGGAGACAAGCAGGAGGAAGATCACCAGAAGCTCTGTCCGTCTGCTGCAAAGGCCCCAGAGAGTTCACATTATGCTTCTGTGCACGGCCCGATCCAACAGGGAGGAAAGCAGACCCGGAGAGAGATTGGTGTTGGACCCCTCCCTGTTCTGCTGAGGACCGTAGAACCTCTGTGTTAATGAGAGCAAAGGGCATCGGGGCCAAAGAGAGGAATGTTCACACGGTCCGACTGAAACAGTTCTGAGTCCTCTGATTATCCAAAACTAACGGTACTGAAGAGAACCACTGAGAGATCCCATCCCGCCTTCATCTTTAGGATCAGAATCTACTTTAAAGGCCAAGTTTGTGTGCAGAAACAATGAAAGTGACTTCAGTTTTCACAGCTTACATCCTAATCAAAAACATAACGACCAGAGAACGAAGAACGAGCTTTAAGGATAAACAGAACTTGATAAAAAAAAATCAGGATGACAGCAGCAGCCCAGTTTTTATCAACCAAGGCTCTGGTCTATAAGCTCTTTAGAAAAAGCAGCTGAGTTTCCACCAGCTTTTCTGCAGACAGCAACAGAGTGGAGCTTCTGGTTGGGACTATTTTCAGACACTGATTAGGTTCACTAACGAGGGCTTCAAGCTGAAGGACAGGGTGAGAGTTAAATAAAGATCCGTGTTTCTGGATATAATCCAGCAGACTCGCTCCATGAAGCCTTTAATCAGTGATTGGACCCAACAGAGCTTCTGGTAAGAGCAAATAGAGCAAA